CGCTCCGGGGAAGGGGGCGGAGACTGCGGGCCCAGGGGGTGGTGAGTGCCCGCCCGAGGCTGGATTTCTGGACCCTGAGGGGTTCCTGAGTATCGGGTTGGAGGCAGGACCCCTGGGTTGGGGGGGTGACTGGGCTCAGGGCCGATGGGTAGTAGGGGTGCCCGGGAGTCCCAGGGATGTCTGGATGGTAAGACACTTTACTGCCCAGGGGTTGCCTAAGGGCTGGGGGTATTCTCAGTAGGTCTGTGGGTGGCTGTGGGTCCCCCACGGTGACAGGCCTGGCTGTGACCTTCCCCAGAGCTGCACTGTTCAGACCATGGACACTGAGGTGTCTCTGCTGCTGCAGTGCCCCCCGGGCGGGCTGCCCGAGGATCAAGTACGAGCTGAGCTGAGCCCAGCCCACGACCGTCGTCCACTGCCAGGAGGGGACAAGGCCATCGCTGCTGTCTGGGAGAGCCGGCTACAGGCCCAGCCCTGGCTTTTTGATGCTCCTAAGTTCCGCCTGCACTCTGCGGCCCTGGTGCCCACTGGCTCCCAGGGGCCACAGTTGCTTCTGCGCCTGGGCCTTACTTCCTATCGAGACTTTCTGGGCACCAACTGGGCCAGTTCAGCTGCCTGGCTGCGACAGCAGGGGGCTGCCGACTGGGGTAACAAGCAAGCCTACCTAGCAGACCCTCTGGGGGTCGGCGCAGCACTGATCACCGCTGATGACTTTCTTGTCTTCCTGCGTCGCTCTGGGCGAGTGGCTGAGGCACCTGGGATGGTGGACGTGCCTGGTGGGCACCCTGAGCCTCAGGTGAGATGCAAGGCTGGGAGCAAAGGCACAAAGACCCAGACACCTCAGCTTAGTTTTCCTCATCCCTCAAAGGAGAATTGGCCTAGTACTTCTCTGAAAGTGTCTGCCCAAGGCAGCGCCCTCAACTTCCCCACTGATCTCTTCCCCAGACCTGTAAGAAGCTAGGGAATGGGAGCAAAGACCTAGATGGACCTCTGGTCGTCCATCTGGAAAAGAAGGGCCTGGGTCTGGGGACCACTGTGCCCAAACAGGCCCTCAGGGCCAGCAAGTGTGAGGGAAGGCAGGGCCAGAAGAGGTGGGGAACAGGGGCTAAGCCTGACCTCTCACAGGCCCTGTGCCCTGGTGACAGCCCTCTGCACAAGGACCTCCCTGGGGAGCTGGTGGTACATGAGCTCTTCTCCAGTGTCCTCCAGGAGATCTGTGATGAGGTGAGTGAGCGGTGGCCAGGACAAGGTGGTGGGCTGGAAGGGAGGGTGGCCAGGACAGGGTGGTGGGCTGGAACGTGCCAGAATGAACCTTCGTCTGGACTGGTGGGAGGGTCTGCAGGCATGTGGCATTGAGGGAAGAACTTGGCTTTGCAGTGGGCACACTTGGAATGGAATTCTAGCCCTCATTTCTGTGTGCCTCAAGTTCTTCCTCTTTACAATGTGAACAATGATAAATGCCTTGCCTACCCGTCCCCCAGGTTTGTTGAAAAGAGAAGTAACTGGAAGTCGATTTACCGATTTTCCTTTGGTGACTCTGGGCAGATTATTCAATCTCTAACATGCCCAAGATCCAACATCCTGTGATTCTGGGCACTTAAGCTACAAACCCTAAAATGTTATACAAGGGTAATGCATGTGCTGTTCTCCATTGAGAGGGGCAGGGATGTGGGCAGTGAGCACTGACAGGTGGGACCCTGGCCCCAGGTGAACCTGCCACTGCTCACCCTGAGCCAACCGCTGTTATTGGGCATTGCGTGCAATGAGACCAGTGCGGGCCGTGCCAGTGCCGAGTTCTACGTCCAGTGAGTGAGCTCTGGGGAGAGTCCTGGGTACTGGGGTAGGTGGGTGGTTGAGGGGCATGGCTGAGGCAGCTGCGGCTCCACAGGGACCTCCCAGGGGCTGGGCAACCACCAGGCCATTCTCATATCTTGCCCAGGTGCAGCCTGACTTCAGAGCAGGTGAGAAAGCACTACATGAGTGGGGGACCTGAGGCCCACGAGTCCACGGAAATTATCTTTGTGGAGACACAGGTGCGAGGTGGCAAAGTCTTGCTTGTACAAGGAGCTGGGGTTGGGACTTGCAGAGGCCTGCTGATGCATGTCTGTCTGCGGGGAAGGCAGGGTCAGATGGGGCTCCCAGATCTCTCAGAGCTTTTCTCCAGAGCCACAAGGCCTCACTGGGGATGCCCAAAAGCCCAAGGGAGAGGGCCAGGGACCTGTTCAGCCTCTTTAACATGTCTCTCTAGGGACTGTACAGTGCAGAGGACTCTGGGGTTCAGGAACTCTGGGCACAGCTCCCTCAAGAGACCTGAGAGCTAGATGTCTGGATCTTTGTCTCCCCACAGTGCGTGAGGAGGTTGCAGGAGACTGAAATGTGGGCTGAACTCTGCCCCTCCGCCAAAGGCGCCATCTTCCTCTACAACCTGGTCCAGGGAAGTCCCACCTGAGTCGCCCTCGGGTCCCCAGTCCTATCACCACAGCTCGAAAGACAATAAAGGACTTTATTCTTGGATTCCGTTGACATGTGCTGTTCCCACGAGACAGAGAGGGGCCGCTGGGAGAGCCTGGGGTAGGTGAGGGAGACAGAACAAGCGACTTGGAAAAAAGAAAGCCCAGCCTCAGTTTTGCCCTCTGCCAGCTGGAACGAGGGCCATGTCCCTTTGCCAGGCTCTGGTGAGGTTCCAGGTCGACTAGGGGGTGGACGCTGCTCTGTAAAACATTTTATAAAGCGGAGTGACAGCCATGTTCGTGGACAGAACGACGGCAGCTGGGCCGAAAGCCTCACTGAGTGGCAGGCTTGGTGCCCCCCCGCTTCCTGGGTGAACGCCAGCACCTCTGGGCGCGTCCAAGGTACCGGCCTCGGGGGCGGGCCCGAGACGTCAAAGGCCAATGGGTTACGGGGGCAGGGCCCATTGCACCTTCCGGTCCGGTGGGCGTGGTCTGCGTGTCTAAGCCAATGAGTGTGGGAGTGGGGCCTCAAGCGGTACAGGAAATGGCGGCGGCCGAGGTGCGAGTGAGTGCTGCAGGGGCGGGGCTTGGTGCGGCTCCTCCTGCGTCCGCCCCCCAGCGCGGGGTCTCTGCGCTCCGGCCGGCCGCCCAGACGCCGGGGCCAGTGTGGAGAAGGGCCCGGGTCAGAGGCAAGACCGGTCTAGGGCACTGGGGTCTGATCTTGATCAAGGCCCCGCCTGTCCATGGGTTCTCCGGGCCTGCTTCAGTTTTCCTTTGCAAGTAAATGGGGCCCGGCTGCTTCCTTCTGCCCCCGGAGCGCTTGAAGTCTGGTCCCAATGCACTCTTCTTTGTGACCTCCTTTCACTAGCTGCCCTCCTGCCGCCATGTTGCCCCTGCTGCCCCTGTGCCTTTGTCGCCTGTGGCCCCGCAGCCCTCTCACCCGGCTCTTCGCGGAGGCCGCCAGGCAGCGGTGAGTCGGCGGCCCGGTGCCTGCCCCTCGGCCGGTCGTTCAGTGGGTTTTTGTTGAGGGCCCAGCTCTAGGCCCTGCCCTAGGTGCTGAGGTAGTTGTGATCTCTGTGTCAAGTGCCTTACAGCCTTGTCTCAGGTAAACCTCACCTTCACTGCTGAGGATCAGAGATTAAGGGATGATCACCAAGGCTATACAGCGAGTTATGAGGCAGATCTGGAGTTTGAAAGCCAAACCCAATGTTGTGGAGCAACGCTGATCATAACCCCCCGGGGGTGGGGGGTGGGGGGTTTACAAAAATGCAGATTCCTGGGTCCTGCTCTGGAGATTCTATCTGCAGGAATGAGGTGGGGCTCAGGAATCGTTTTTAAACAAGCTTTTTCGGTGTTTCTGACACATGGAGCCTGAGGACTACATTTTGAGACACTCTGGTCTGATCTGCACCATTCCCCAAACACTCAAAAAGGAGAGATGGTTTGGAGATAGGTCTCCCATGAACCTGACTCAGCCCCCTCAGCTCCTGGTTGCTGAGTTGAAGCGTGTGGCCCAGCGGAGCTGGGAGGGGTAGGGAAGGGGTATCTTCTGTGTTTCCTTAGCCCCTACAGGTTCTGGCCTCTCTCCACAGGTCTGGCCCCAGTAACTACTATGAACTGTTGGGGGTGCATCCTGGTGCCAGCACTGAAGAAGTTAAACGAGCTTTCTTCTCCAAGTCCAAAGAGGTACTGGGCAGGGAGGTGGGAGGGGAAATCTGAGCCAGATGGGGTACACCCCAAATTCCCAGGAACGGAGTTGAGTGGCTCACTCTGGCTAGTGGCACATTCCCTCAGCATGCATAGGAAGAGGGAGGTTCCCCAAGGGCAGAGGTGTGAGGAAAGCCAGGGATCCTGTCTGATGGGCTGGGCTTGGTTTTCTTGACCTGCCTGCTCTTGAGAAAACCTGGACCAGGGCATATAGTGAGAGCTAGGCATCAGGTGGGGAGGAAGCAAGAGTGCTTCCTGACTCTGGCTTTCTGGTGGGTTGGCCACTCTGAGGGCCTGAGAGTTAAGGTCACTGTCCAGACAGGGCCTCTGGGAATGATTTGAGCCCTTGTGGGTGGATATTATGGAGATGGAGCATGGGAAAGTAGATGAGGGGAATCCTGCCCCACCCCAGCTGCACCCTGACCGGGACCCTGGAAACCCAGCCCTGCACAGCCGCTTTGTGGAGCTGAGTGAAGCATACCAAGTACTCAGCCGGGAGCAGAGCCGCCGCAACTATGATCACCAGCTCCGCTCAGCGACTCCCCCAAAGCCTCCAGGAACCACAGCCCATCCCAGGTCTACTCATCATACACACAGGTACAGTATCTTGCAGCTCACTTCTTCCCCTCCAAGTCTTGGGAGCCTCATTGCCACACTGTCCCTTTTTCTCCTTTCCAGTAGCTCCTGGGCACCCCCCAATGCACAATACTGGGCCCAGTTTCCTGGTGTGAGGCCTCAGGGACCAGAGTCGAGGCGGCAGCAGCATAGACACAATCAGCGGGTGCTGGGGTACTGCCTCCTGATCATGCTGGCAGGCATGGGCCTGCACTATGTTGCCTTCAGGTGCATCCCTGCTTTTCCCAGAGGGGTGGGGGTGGGTGGACAGAGGGTAAGAGGGGGAGTGAAGCCCAGTGTGCCACCCATGTGGCCTGCACTCTTGTGTCTCTCAAGCTAAGAATTGTATGAAATGGGTCTCTCGAGCCTCTTCTTACTTAGAAAGGCAGTTCTTCACTAAGGGCTAATGTAATTTTCAGGTTTTTTTGTTTTTTTTATAATTTGTATGTAAATCTTTGGTGCTGGCTGCCAGGAAGTGGTGGAGCCAACCAGAATCATGCACAAGAAAGAAATGCATTGTAAAAACTGTCCTCACTTGTTTGGCATGTCTGCTGTTTCCCCACCCCTCTCTCATGCGTGCCAGGACACTGAGGTTCTACAGCAAACGTACATAAAGGCAGTGCACACTGCTAGCAGCCTGCCTAGTTCAGTGACAGAGTTAGACATACAACCCTTTCTAATCTCCTGCGAGGACCACCCTGATGTTCAGTGCTGCTGTCACTACCTTCAGCAGGATAGCCGGGGACCTGGGTCACCATTGGACCCTGGACAAGCCTGGCCACTCTGTTTGCTCTCCCCAGCTAACACAGGCAGTTAGGCTGAGGTCCCCACAAATGTAAAGCAGTGACATCCTAGAGTAGGGTACAGGGGGGTGGGACTTGGGGAACAGCAGGATTTGGGAGACCCAGGGCTAACTGTAACCCCCTTACAGGAAGCTGGAGCAGATGCACCGTAGCTTCATGGATGAAAAGGATCGGATCATCACAGCCATCTACAATGAGACTCGGGCCCGAGCCAGGTCTGTCCCTGTTCTACCCTGCCTTCTTCACTGTCCTGTACTACCCTCTAGGATCCCTGTTCCAACCACCGTGGTGCTCTCTCCTGCAGGGCCAACAAAGCCAGGCTCCAGCAGGAGCAACAGCAGAGGCAGCAGCTGCAGCCACCACCCGGGCCTCCCCCAGGCCCAGGGATCATGCCCCCCTGAGCCTCTCACCTGCATGGAGCCTGCTGTGTGTTCCCTCTCGGGACTTCCCACCACCCAAAACGTGTGCAATAAACATGATTCTCCGCGCTCATGTTCGGCTTCCTCCTTAAGTCTCAGCACCCCCTCACCCCAGCCTCTCCTTGGGACAGCGCCCCGCCGTCAGAGTTCTGGCGGCCTCGACCCGGAGCCCTGCCCCCTGGGCGGTGCGTCCCCTTTCCCCTGCAGCAGCAGGAGGGGGTGTG